TAACCTGTTTGGAATCATGGCTGCCTTTGAGATTCTGAGGAAAACTATAGATTCATTCTGTAGAAAAAATGCATGTGTGCACACAGGTTTTTTTTGGTTTGGGTTAGGTTGGGTTTTACAGTTTCAAGAAAGTCTTGCCCGACCGCAGCCCCATACTTCTCAGCTAAGGAGACTGCATGCATCTGGACCAGACACATCTTGAGAGATGATGATGAGCTCAGATCATGGGCTGAGTTTGAGCTGCCGTAGGGGACCCAAATGGACTCCTTGGACATGGGCAGTTGTCTCTGCTAGGGTCTCTTCAAAGTGGCTGAGATAATGTGCGTGCCTCACTATCCTAATCATCCTAATTTCTTCTTATTAAAGCTCTGGTTACAGTGCACCTCTGTGCACATTGGACAGTATTCCTAATATGGTAACATGGAGTAAGTCATTTCATTGTGGCTGTTGTCATCGGAAGAGCCAGCTCATAGGAAGTGGGATAAGAATGGGCTCATGAAGCTCCATGTGGTTGGCCACCGTTGGCCTCTGACAGGTTCAAACTGGGAGTCACTCCGAGCTCTCTCTCTGGCATCCAGGACTCTTGCCTTATAGACCTCGGTCTAGCTTGGGGCAACCTGTTTTATATTTCCTCTTACGGAGAGAATCCATATGAAGCAATGACAGTTACTAAAGGGGTGGAAAATGGTGCTCTGGGGGTCAGGGGAAAGGAAACGTGGTCCCAGGGGCAGACTGTGCCTGGGGGGGCGGTGGGGCTGTCTTGTGGTAGGGCATCCCAGTCTGCTCAACATCCCAGCAGAGTGGGAGGAAAGTCACCAGTTCTAGCCTGAGGGACCCGAGGCTGCCCCCGTGAGGAGTTCTGACCCTGGTTGGGTGCCTTCGCCGATTTCTCAGTGAGCACAAGAGAACCTTTGGTCCAAACCCCAGTGACCTGGACCAACTGGGAATCACCAGTTCTGTGTTCCTTTCTGGAGGAAGGAAATTTTACAGAGGGCTCCCTGGCTTGTCAAACATTCTCGAAAGACACGGTGGTCAGAGATCATGGCATGTCTGTTGCATTAAAAATTCCTTTTCTCCCTTCATTGTACACATATCGGGCTGGACCCCAGAACGGTTCCTGGGACCGACCCAAGACTTGGCAGTTCAGCCGTACATTTGTGCTCAGGAGACTGAACTCATTGCACACCCAAGGGCTGCCCCTTACATTTATTATCATCAAATAAAAAAAGAATAGGGTTTTACTCATTTCTAGCTATTTCTTAATAGCCTTGCTCGTGTGTTTTTAGATAACCAAAAATATGTTTTCTGTACAAGCCTTTCAGTTTGCCAGAAACCAAAGCCAGTTCTCCCTTTTCATCTTAGATGGCATCTCTGAGGCTTGGCAAACACTGGGACGTCCCTGTGTAGAGTCTGAGCACGTTGCCAGCTGTGATGAGGGGCCTGAGGCCTGCCCAGGGTCACACTCTCTGCTCCAGGCCCCCCTGTCCTGACCCAGGGGTGCCTCTTTTCTTGACCTCCCTGCCTCGATGGACTGACCCCTTCATCCTTCCTGCCCTGTCTGACACACCGTCCGGGGTCTCAGGACATGGAGGCCCCTCGTCAGGTTCCGGGAGATGAAAGTCCACCTTATCTAACCCTGAGCGGGCCCCGAAGGTGAGCTGTGATTAGCTCACTGCTGTGCATCTGTCTCTTGCTTGCTTGGCCTGTGTCACAACAGGCCTATTTGGGGTGTGGCTTGTCTGGCGCATTGCTTCCCGGGGTATGTTAGAAGGCCGTCGCATGTGTGTGTCTTATCTGTAGCATGCTTTTGTCTAGCAAATGATTTATTATTTGTTATATTGAAAAGCATATCCTGAATGGATGGTCGGTGCCAGGCAGGAATCGATGACGTCGATTCTGGTTATTTGCCTTTGTAATGGATGCTCCTGTTGTTGTTTTCTGTATGGCGGCGATCTGTAAGGGTTTTGAGGAGGTCATGCTGTTTTTCGAGGCTTGACATCTTGGCATATGGAGCAGCCTCAGGCCTGCTGGGGCTGAGCCTGGGGTGCTGGTCTTGGGAGACTCCGTGAACACCGCACACTGCATGTAGCAGCACCCCACCCCCACCCCCACCCCCTGCAGACCGCATGAACATCCCTGACCCCTTTTCTGTGACCTAATGTCATTTTAAAAATTCAGACCTGAGAACCACCAAGACTGTGGACACACGAAACCCATACATAGTGGAGCGGTCAGTCCTCCCCTCTCTTTGGTTGGGGGGTGGCTATGGCAGTAAATAAAGCAACAGCTGTGATAATGCTAGAAACCTCTGTATTGATGGGACGCTTGCCTGGTTAGGCCTGCTCCGAGTACTTTCATATGTGAGCGCACTCTGCATACAGCAGCCTGTGAGGCCGGAGTAGCACTGGGCTTGCTCTGGAAAAGAGGAAATGCAGGACCCCCCCCCCCGAGTGGGGGCAGGGCAAGGCGAGGACTAAACCCACAGAAGGACCAAGGGGGGAAGGTGTGAGGAGCACATGGGGCCTGTGGGGAGGAGGACCCCAGCTTCGCTCAGGGAGCACAGTGATGGGAACACGGCCTGCCTGGGAAGGGTCTCTGTCTAGCAGGGCCCAGGCTCCATCCCGGGGCTGGTGGAGGCCATGGAGAGCTCTGAGGAGGGAGAAGATGATGTGCAGGATGGATAGGGATGAGCTGGGAGTGCAGAGAGGGGCCGGGAAAGGCTCCCAGGTGCTCCCCTCTGGCAGGCCCTGCATCAGAGGCACGGGGGAGGCCCCAGAGCACCATGTGTGCGTGCAGTGAGGTTGGGGAGCTGCGTGTTTTACAAAGCCCCCTGGGAATCCCGATGCCAAGCTGGAGAACACTGGGGCTTCCACAGGGGCCCAGGAATGAGGTCAGGACTTTCCGCCACGGGGGCAGCAGGAGGGAGGGATTGATGCCCCTCAGGGCCGACCAACACCCTGGCTTGGTGCTGACGGCTCTCAGGACCCAAGTGAGGCCATGAGGAAGGGAGCATCTGAGTGTGTCAATGAGAGACTTCTGTCCTGGACAGTCTCCTGTGTGCTCTGCTCCCCTGCACGCTCCTTTTCTGGCCCCTTCTGTCCTAGAGGAAAGTTGTCAGATGACCTGGTGTTAGAGACTTCATGAGAGCCAGTTCAAAGTTGCTTTTATTTTCATTTAAAGATTTTATTTATTTATTTATTTATTTATTTATTTATTTATTTGAGAGAGATTGAGAGAGAGAGCATGTGCAAGAGTAGAGTGTGTGTGTTGGGGGGGGGTGTGCAAGGCAGAGGGAGGAGCAGAGAGCCCGGTGTGGGACTCGATCCCAGGACCCCGGGATCATGACCTGAGCCAAAGGCAGACACTTCACCGATGTAAGGTGCCCCCCAAGTGCCCCCCAGGTGCCCCCAAAGGGTTGATTTTAAGAGGAGGATGACTTGGGGCAGACGGGGCCTAGACCAAATAGATCTGCCGCGGGCATTTCCGGCGGCGCCCGGCCTGGGAGCAGCTGGCCTCATGTACACGGTCCCCATCCGTCCGTTCAGTTGTTCAGCAGATACAGGATTCGAGACCTGCCGGCTGTGGGCGACGACGTCCGCAGGCCCGGCTCTGCGTCCTTTACCTGGGGCCTGGGCTTCTGTGTCTGTGAGTCCGTCTGTCCCTGGGACTCCCCTAGACGGCTGGCAGCGCCCAGCTGGGGCTCGCCGTGGGGCCCGGGGGTGGTGAGCGGGCCCGGGGCCTCGTGGCAGGTGGCCATGCGGTTCCCGGGTCATCCGCGGGGGACCGAGGAGGCCTTTCCTGCTGCGACCTGCCCACTGCTCCTCTCTGTGCAGATCCCGACCGGTGCACGCTCATCCGGGTGCTCGTGAGTGCGTGGCTGCCCTCAGGACTGCGAGCGGCACAGGATGAAGCGTGAGCGTGGGGCCCTCCTGCCAGGCCTTCTCTTAGTGGGCTCCCCCGTGTCGCAGTCAGCGCGCCTTCCTGTCGTGCGGAGGAGGCCACGGCCAAGGGCGGCGGGCAGCAGCGTCCCCCGGAGCAGCTGTGGGGCTGTGGTCGGGCCTGCCCCCTCCCTGCCCCCTCCCTGGCTCTCCTTCCTCCTTCCCAGTCCCCCTCCCCTCTCTGGGTTCCCCATTCACAGCCTCACCGCTGGGGCTTCTGCTTCCAGAAACCCCAGACTCCCCATCGCCCCCCTTCACCTCCGCTGGGGACCCCGGCGTCGATGGGGTGACCGGCGCGACCCCAGACACGGCCCCCGTGGCCCTGGCCGTGCCTCTGGCGGCTCTCCCACCCCGTGCTCCTGCGCAGGCCGGAGGCCTTGAGCGCTGGCGCTTCACCCCTCAGCGGCTGGCATGCCATTCTTTTGAAATGAGTAATACGGAGCTAGTCCAAGAAATAGCCAGTGCTGTTGCCCGGTCTCAGGGGCGAGCCAATTGCCTCATCACGTGAGGTGTCCAGGGAGCGGCCTTCCCGGGCCTGGGCCCTGCCTCGGGGGGTCCGTCGGGGAGCCCTGACCCCAGCACCCAGGGCGGGTGCTCCGAGTCTGCGGGGAGCCGCGCGGTGGGACGATTCTCAGCCTGTTCCCTTCTGATTGAAAATCATTTTGAATCGGTTGGAAGGGCTCTGTAGAGACTTCCTGCTTCCGAAAAGCCCCCTCCCCCTCAACATAGCCCCCGGTCTCTTTAATGTGGTGCCCAAAGCACACGCACGTCACGTCTGGGTGTCTGCAGGCGCTGGCTGAATCTGGGGACGGGAGCCGGCCTCTGCGAGCTGCGCCTTCCGCCCTGGCGCCCCTTTCCTGCAGCCCGATTTCTGGGGGGTGGAGGCGGGGCCCCCACAAGGAGCAGAGCCGGCCCGGGGAGCTCCGTGGGAATGCGGCTCTGCCTCCACCGCACCAGCCGTACATTGGGCGGCGGTGGGGGGGGGGCGGGGGGGGTTTAAATACTGTATCGAGTTGCTTGGAAATCACATTAAGCCCCAGAAAGCTCGGGGCGAGCAGAAGGTGTCTCTGGGAAACTGGGTGCCCGACAAATGACAGGAAGATGTGAGAACAGGCCCTGAAGGGTTTCGATTGAGAAAGAGTTGGTGTGTAAATGGGGCTGAGTTATAGGGGCACAGGCATGGCTTTCCTCGGCAGAAAGGCCAAGGGAAGGTGGACGGCACGTCTTCAGCCACAAGTTCAGGCGTGATTTGTCAGCAGGGCTTGGCCGTCAGCCTGCAGTCGCTGATTCCCTCTGCCCACCTCCGCTCGCTGTGCTTGCGGCATATTTAAGAACCCAAGCGATAAGAACTGCAAGATTAACCACCTGGGCTAATGTTCAGTAGGGTCCCCTTGGGTTACAGACGGTGGGAAAAGTGGCCCGGACCCACGGAACTGGCTCCTTTCATCTTTCCTCAAAACTCTGGGTAATACAAAATGTTTAAATCTAGAAGTTTTAAGGAGCGTTGGTGCAACTGTAGCCGAGCTTGCTACAAAGTAGCTGTTGTGATGAATAAACAGAAAACCCCACCCATGGCACCATCTCCAGGTTGCGCAGACGCATCCGGAGGAGTCCCCGGGATTCTTGGAGACGCGCATTCCCAGGCTCAGAGGAGGCTCCTTGGACCACGCTGACGCGGTTTTCTGCGCTCCAGAACAGAGCTGGCAGGTTGGCCCCATCCCACCTGGCCGCAGCCAGCACACCTGAGGGCTCGAGGACCCGCTGCCGTGCCTGGCAGGCCGAGGTTGGCTGGAGGGCAGGAGGCCTCAGTTTCTCCCTGCGTGAATCCACGCGTAGCGCCGTCTGAGCATCCTCATGCCCCGGCAGCTGGCTTCCCCCAGAGACAGCGATGCCAGGGAAAGCCAGGCGGAAACCACGACGTCTTTGAGGACCTCGGCTCAGGAGTCACGCCGTCTTCCCTGCAGCACCCTCTTGGTGGCACAGCTTGGTCCTGTTCGTGCAGGGAGGAATGAGGAGCCCTCTCCAAAGAGTACAGGGTGCCGAGGAACCTCGCTGTTTGTTATCCTGGGTTGGCGAGTCGTGGCTTTTAGCTGGACACCACCGAATCCAGCTCTGGTTAACTTAATGAGAAAAAGAACTGGACAGAAGGTTCCTGGATCGTTCTGAGAATCAACCGGAAGTCTGGAGACCAAGGCTCAGAAGAGGGACAGGAGCCCGGGAGGCCCTGAACCACAGTTAAGGCCCAGCCACAGGAAGCTTCGGGTAAGGATGTGGCCTGTGGTCCGTGGCACCGATGCTGCTGGGCATGTCTGGCACCGGCCTCTCACGACGGTGGCTTCCGCCAACACTTCCGAAACATCCCTGGGTGTGTTCACCCTGAAAAGTCAGAGTCTTGGGTAGGATTGATTGTTGGAGCCCGTCGCACCTCCCTGCCACGGTCTGGCTACAGGTACGTGGAGGGCGGGGCCTGCAGGTGGGCTCCTGGTGGCACACAGAAGACGGATGCCGGAGGCAGGAAGAGAGTGTCGACGCTGAGGGCAGCCCCCGGACAGCAGACGTCCACCCTTCCTGCCTTGTACTGAGCTCCAGGGTTATTTTTGGTCTCAAATGCACCCCGAATTACAACATTCATACATTCCTGAAAAGTTACGTTGATTCGAATTGTGGTTTATCTACACTGGCTAAGCTTAATACCTTTTAGAAGTCTCGAAGATAATCCTTCCCCAAAGCAGCTAATCCTTTTAGAGAACAAATAATCACTTCTTAACCTTTTTATTTTTGAAGATCAAGACTCTGTATATTGGGTTTTCTCAAGGCAGAGTATCCAGCACTTAGGCATCCTCTTTTGCTCAAGAGTGAGGAAATGTCTCAGGTTTATAGATAACCGCTCGCAATCGCTCATGCTGTGTGGAAAAAAAAAAATCAAAACACTGAGGGTTTTTTTTCTTTCTCCCCTGTAATTGATGATTGTCTGGAAGGAAGTATGGGGCTATTAAAATTTTTAAAGAGCTTGTATTTATTTATTTTATCTTACCTGCAAGACTGTTTAAAAAGCCAATTTAAGAAGTAAGACCTGGAACATTTGCATGGGTGAAGATACAGGCTTTTTTTGGTTTTGTTTTGTTTTTGTTTTTTTGCTCTTAAGACCTGGGAGTCCCATTTGGAAGAGTCACCTTTAACATTAATTTTTTTCCTCCCGCAAGAGGCTTTCACATTACGGCAGAAATAATCTTGTTCCATTTCCTCGGGTTGCTTTCACGCTTCCTGGATGAGGGAGCGAGGCCCCGAGGTGACAGCTGGGCAGGAGCCTGGACGGGGTGGCCGTGGTGAGCCAGACGGAGACCTGACTCGCTGCTCCAAGCTGGTGACAGGCTCTGCGCATCCGGAACAGTCCCGATGGCCTGGGGAGCACGGAGAAGCAGCAGAGGAGGAACTGGAAGCAGGCGGGGAGACCGGTGGGGCAGGTGCTCTCAAAATCTAACAGATGACAGAGAGTGACTGATGATGGTTGCCGTTCAGGTGCCTCTATGTGTCAGATGCATGCCTGGGTCTCGTCACTTTTTGCCCGGTGACAGGCCAGTGGACTGGAGTGGTCTCCGTCGCGGTAGGTTCTCTTACACCTCTCGAAGGGTGTGGGGGGTGCTCACTGTAGACCTGGACGGCATTAATATCTCAGTGAGACTAATTCGGCTGCTTTCTTCTCTAGCGCTAGAACCTAGAGGGGTCATTGGTTGATATAAATGATATAAATGAAGTACTGGTTGATATTTTCAGGGGCCGTGTTACTAAGGAACATATTCCTTTAATTACTAGACCCATTGTGGCAAGGTGCTCCCGTCTGAGAGGGCCAGGAGAAGGTTGTGGGTTCACTTGGTGGGTCTGAATCGTCTTCAGTCTAGGGGTCGCTTGTGTGTGTGTGTCAGCCCATTTTTATGATTGGCAAAACTGAGACTTGGACGAGTGAAATGAGTTGTTCAAGGCCATATAACGAGAAGGCGGCCGGGCTGGGACTCCGGATGCCAAGTGGGGCGTGCGTCACCGCTGGACCTGGACACTAGGTCTCGCCGAGGAGGAACGGCTTGGAGGGGTTGCAGCCTGGGAGTCCCGGTAGCTTGTATGTGCCTCCTCCTGTCCCTCCAGACCATGATTCCCAGATGCTCACATCTTGGCATAAAATATAAGGTTAAAGAAAATACAATAAGTAACATTTTTGAGTGAGGTATCTTTGTCATTTATACCAGATTACAGATTACTCTGATCCCGTGGTGGGGCACAAAGTGAGTCACTTCCCTGATTTTAATTTTTCTGTTAAGAGAGAACAGTAATTTCTACTTACCTGGTGCATTTTATTGTATATTTATTATTATTGCATTATCATTATTCTTTAAAGGTGCTGTGGCTTTTTCCACAGTTTATTATATTTAGCCATAAAACACAGAAGGCAGCATCATTTTTTTAGCTAAGAAAATTGATGCAGTCTACAAAAACTATTAGAGAGTATTAGTTTCCTACATACAGTAATCCTGAATTGCTTTTTTTCCCCTCAAGATTCATATGATTGCATTAGTGGTAAACTTCAGATTTATGGCTAAAACAGAACTTCAGAGAAAATTTATTTCGGGAGATTTGTTGTTTTTTTTCAGTTTTCCAACCTATCATACAAAGCATCTGAACAAACTTTGAAATTCTCTTAATTTAACAAAGAGACCGTCCTCTGAGTGCTCTTGTTTTGTTTATCCGGGTGTCTTGAGTGCACCCACTTCCTGGCCCGCTCCCTCTTTCAGTAAATTGCGTTTGTCCTTATCGACAGACCCCTGTGTGTGTTTCCTTAGAGCTTGGATTTTCTGAGCAGGAAGGAAAGAGGAGAAAACTTAGTGCAGATACGGCCTTTCTTTAACTGTTTTTAAATGCGCACATGATCGCTGCTTCGTTATCGATTCCATCCGTCCTTCTGTGGGAAGTTTGCCCGGTGCCAATCCATTTTTATTTTATTTTATTTTTTTTTTCCACGTTTTTAATGGTCTTTTTCTGTGCACCGAGAACCATTTCTTCTGGGCATGGGACAGATTTGCTGTGCTGGGTTCGATTAGCATGCTTGTCTGATCCCCAATCCATCTGCGAGGCAGCCTGATTAAAGGAAAAATAGTAAACATCCTGTCCTGGGTGCAGACTTGGAGGTGTGTGCTGGAAATGTGTGTCTCCCTTGGAAAGAACATTTCGGAAAACACAGTGTTTGGTAGATAAGGGCTGCACTCGTCTTGTCTCATCAGAGAGTAATCGTAGCGTTCAGTTTCATATCGTCCTGCTTTCAGCCCAACTTTTATAGCTGAACCAAGCGCGGAGTGCTGTGTGAGAGGTCAAGGGCAGCACAAATCAGCTTTCACCCTGGGAAACGAAAATTAGCGGAATAGCCCTGCAAAGTGGCATGTTTGTTAAATACAGCGATTGTTGTGAATGGATTTATGCATCCAATTTGTTTGCAGTTGTCAAAACCTCATTAATTGGAAGCCCAATGACATTGTTTGCTGTTTCAGATCAGTTTTAAATTACACATGTACTGCTTAATCTTAAAAGCAAAATTAAACCTTGCATTGGTATATACACTTCAAGTTACCACACTAAGCCGTTCTAGGCCGGGGGAGGGAGTTTAATACACGATGTAAAATAAAATTAGGTGTTCCTTTGGCTTCCGTGGTGGCTCACGTAATTAGGTTCTGTCAACTGTAATTTTTCAGGTTAATTTCTTCCACGATGTATGCTGGGTAAATAATAAAGCTATAAATCCCTTTATACATTTAAATTATTGTATAAATCCTTAGTATTAATGCAATAGCGTATTTTAAGTAAATTACTTGGAGGTCTGAGTTGTATGGCATGTAGGCAAAGTTGATGTCCTTTTTTTAGAAATCAGCAAAGATAGGTATTTTATTTGTCTAACAAATACAGGGGTTGATCAAGTCTCTAGGCCCAGGTGCTAGGGACACAAAGGTCACGAGGTCGCTGCCCCTGAGAACCTGCAAATCTCGTGTGGCTTTTTCAAATGGTTCCCTGAGACAAGTGTGCCAGAGGGTTTCCTGCCAGGCGTGGCCAGATGGGTGGGTAGCCGTGGCCGGCAGCGGGCACCCCTAGAGAAGGTATGGGGAACGCCAGCCGGTTTGGCCACAAGACGCTCTTTTCCATCCCATTCCTGAGTATCATGATCTGGGCTCTGGAAGTCTTAGCCTGGGGTCTCATGAGAGTTTGTGGATAAAATTCAGAGGGTCTGTAAATTTAGACAGCAAGAACATTTACCCCTTCATTTCCATATAATCACCTTCCAGTCTTATACACCTTGTACCTATACAGTGGGACCCTCCAAGCCCAGCCCCACCTCCCGGCCACCATAGTCTCTCCTTCCCTCTGGTTTTGTCTTGGCCAGAATGTGATACACCTGGACTCTCTACAGTGCGTAGCCTAGTGAGTCTGGCTTCTTTCACGTAGCTTACGGATTTCAGAATCACACTTGTGTGGTGTGGATCACCAGTTCCTCCCATTTTACGGAGTGGTGTTCCATTGTACGGAAGGCCCACCGTGTGTTTCATCTTTCCCCAGGTGTGGGGCATGTGGGTGGGTTCCAGTTTGGGGCACATATGAATAAAATGGCTGTAACATGTGCATAGAAGCTTCGGTATGAACCTAGGTTTTCAACTCACTTGGAAGAGTAAGGATGGGGTTGCTGGATGGCATATCATGTATGTTTATTTTGATAAGAACCTTCCAAGCTGCTTTCCGTAGTGGGCAACCCTTTGCTTTCCCACCAGCAGAGCGTGAATGTTCCCGTTGCTCTGTACACTCACCAGCATTTGGTATTGTCGGTCTTTTCCCTTTTTTTTTTTCCTTTTTTGATTTTTGCCTTTGGTATAGGTGAGTAATAGGATCTTATTGCAGTTTTAATTCGCATATCCTTAATGACTAAGGGTGTTGAGCATCTTTTCCTGTGCTTACTTGCTCAATGCCCATCTTTGGTAGTGTCCGCTTAAATCTTTTGTCCATTTTATTTTAAAGATTTTATTTATTTATTCATGAGAGACCCACAGAGAGGGAGAGAGGCAGAGACACAGGCAGAGGGAGAAGCAGGCTCCATGCAAAGAGCCCGATGTGGAACTCGATCCTGGGAATCCGGGGCCACGCCTTGAGTCAAAGGGAGGTGCTCAACCGCTGAGCCACTCAGGTGTCCCTCTTTTGTCCATTTCAAAAATTAAATGTTGTTCCACCTATATATTTTGAGGTCTCTGAAAGTATTATTCTGCGAGTAACCTTCACTCGATGGCCCAAGGGATCCATGTCACCAAAAGGGTTAAGAGCCCTTGAGAGACACACTATCCTTAAAATATCTTTTATTCTTTACATTTTTGCATTTTCTTGTGGCACATGTCCTTGTTCAAAGTCTGTCACACACCATTTCCAAGGTAGCAGCTTGCCCATGATAGAATATATTGCTACCCCATCATTCTTTCTGTGCTGTGTACATAAAATGGGATTTCAAAACATCACCCTCAAGTGTGGGCGGGATTCCTTATGCCTCCCCTCCTCTTCAGTGAGCAGTAAGACATTTCTTCTGTTTTTATTTATGAAATTCTTTGGCCCTCTTTGATTCTTTACTCAAATGGAAGGAATCTTAATTTGCAGGAAAAAATGTGAACCAATATATTCCAAGAAAATGGTCCCGTTCCAGCTTTTGCATTAGGAGCTCTTTTCTTAAAGCAGCGTGAGTGTGCAGTTGTCTCTGCAACACTGTGAATTAACGATTTTCGGTGTTTCCCACACAGCTCCTCAGTGGAGCTCACGTCTCAACAAAAATGCTTTTTCTCTGGTTGAGATATTTTTTACGTGTCTTGTGGACTCTTTTAAGTGGATAGCTAAATTGTGACTTAGTCATAACCAAATCTGTGACACAAGGCTCAATACAGTCTTCAGTGGCTAATATTTTTAGAAATCATCAGCTTATTTATCACCAACACAGGAGTTTTATTTTGTGCTTCTTCTTTTTTTTCTTTTTAACATTTATTTTTATTTATTTATTTATTCTTGAGAGACACACAGAGAGAGAGGCAGAGACACAGGCAGAGGGAGAAGCAGGCTCCATGCAGGGAGCCTGACGTGGGACTCGATCCCGGGTCTCCAGGATCAGGCCCTGGGCTGAAGGCAGACGCTAAACCGCTGAGCCACCCGGGCTGCCCTTTTGTGCTTCTTTTATTAAAGAATATAAGGCCCAGAAATGTTATATTATTTTATTTTAATCTGATAATTAATATAGTAATGATGATTAATAAATGATTAATCTGACTGAGGATTCTCTTTTTCTCCATCAGAGAGAAAAGAGAAGGGGTGCCTGGGTGGCTCAGTCAGTTAAGGGTCTGCCTTCAGCTCAGGTGGTGATCCCGGGCCCTGGGATCAAGCCCCACATCGTTGGGCTCCCTGCTCAGTAGAGAGTCTGCTTCTCCCTCTCCCTCTGCCCCTCCTCCTGCTCTTACTCTTTCTCTCAAATAAATAAATTAAATCTTTTTTTAAAAAAAAAAAGGAAAGAAAAAAGAAACTGAACAAGAAAAGTAAATGCAACGTATA